TATGTCGTTGCTGCGCAGCAGGATCTCCATCTCGCGCAACTTTTCAAAGTCACCGAGCTTGTTGGTCGGAAGGATCTAGCAGACCGATGCCAACATGTTAACTTTGGTATGGTTAGGGGAATGAGCACTCGAAAGGGTACAGTCAAGTTCCTCAACGATATCCTCAAGGATGTTGGCGAGAAGATGCATGAGGTTATGAAGAAGAATGCTGCCAAGTACGAGCAGGTTGAGGAACCCGAAAAGACGGCCGATATTCTTGGTATCACGTCTGTGATGGTCCAGGATATGAGTGGCAAGCGGTATGTCGAAGATCTTTGTCAAAACATATCCAACTTCCCCTATTCCTCTTCCCCACCCCCTTAACAACCCCCGCAAATATTATCCCTAACAAAACACCCAGAATCAATGGCTATGAATTCAACCTAGATGTCATGACATCCTTCGAAGGCGACACAGGCCCATACCTCCAATACGCCCACGCCCGCCTCTGCTCCATGACCCGCAAAGCCGACGTCGACCCCTCCGAACTAACCACTGCCAACCTCTCCCTCCTCACCGAGCCACACGCCATCGACCTGATCCGCCTACTTGCCGTCTGGCCCGACGTAGTCTTCAACACTACCAAAACTCTTGAACCAACTACCATACTCACATACCTTTTCCGAATGACGCATGTGCTCAGTTCTGGCTATGATGTGCTCAAGGTTGTTGGCAGTGAGCCTGAGGTGAAGAAGGCACGCATGGCTATGTATGATTGTGCGAGACAGGTGTTGTCGAATGGGATGCGATTGTTGGGGTTGAATCCGGTTGACCGGTGAGCCTTATTTTTATATATATATACATAGTTTTTTGTTTTCCCCTTTGTTCCCCCCCCTTCCCCCCTCCCTCTTCCTTTATGTCCCTGCGATGCCATTGATGGCTTTCTTGCTAATTGATATACGTCAGAATGTAACCGACTTGTTTCACTCCCGTTCTTATTACTTGATTTCCGATTTATTTCCGTTTTGGCTCTCTCTCTCTCTCTCTCTTTTTTTTTTTTTTTTTTTTTTTTTTTTTTTTTTTTTTTTTCAATCAAGAGTTTCGAAAACCTCCCCAATGAGCAGAGCAGGGGGCGAAGGCCTACGAAAAGCGTCACTTCTGCTACTTGTCCCGCTACAGCGTTTTTTGTATCTCTACCAATCTTGTTGGTTCTATGAGAGTATTTATTTGTTCCGCCCAATTCCAAACGCTGTTGTATTCCCCTCGAGAGCTAGGTGCACATATAGAATAGAAGAATCTGGATTACGGAATTTAACGGACGAATCAGTCAAATACAAGTATAAGCCATTGAAAGGAATCAAAAGGAAAAATTTAACAACATAGCTTGTCAATATAACCCGGCCTTCATCTTGTCTCCTATTTCTCATACAAAGATCGGTGGTGAACGGTGAACAGCAAACCCAATATTTTGTTTTCATATGGGCTAGTTCGTAAGTAAATGTATATTTATTTACTGTAAAAGAACAAATGTACCTTCATTCTTATTCCCGCAGCAGAGTTACTAAACTATTCTCCTCGTGGTAAATAAACATCCTCACCCATTATTGTTTCCGGACGGCTATGAGATGCTCTAACATTCTCAATCATCAGCGCTAAATCCAGCTGTGGTTTTGCAGATGCAAATCATGCAAGGGAGATTATACGAGCAGCCTGCTGAATGTTCTGGACCTCTGATCGAAATGTAAAGTTTTGAGAAACTTCAGATTCTCTCCTGGCTGCATGGTTATCTCCGCTAGAAATGGTTTTGAAAAGATAGGGGTTAAAGGGTAACTAACGATATGAAAAGGGGGGAAGAATAGCATTGAATATTGTCATGCCAAATAAGAGCTCACAAGAAAAGAAATCGAAAACTACAAACAAAATTTGATTTATTTTATTCATATGTTAACTATCTCAAGAATATAATTATTATTAGAGCTTTCTTTCTTTTTCTTTCTTCCTTTTTCTTTCCTCTCTCTCTCTCTCTCTCTCTCTCTTTAAAGGATTTGACTCTCACTGTTTTAGGCTCCTCCCGACCCAGGGATCCGTTTTACCTTAGGTAGTTAGCACGGGAAATGGGTGGAAGTGGAATGTATTTCCATCATCAGCAGAAGGAGGGGCATATCATATCATCCATGGATCTCATAATCTCTTATCATGTCATCACTGGGAATAAGCGGCAACAGAAACGAAATGCCAACCAATATCAACCATTGCCAGGGGCAGGCCAAAGAGAAGTGAAGAAATCTCCAACGTCTTCAACTCGCCAGCTGGGGGCGTTCATTGGGGCCGTTTCAAATGGTGGCTGCAGGTTGATTCCCGTTTTGGGATTAGACATTTTATCATTTTCATCTTTTTTTCAAGGGTAATTGAGGAGAGAGGGCGTCAGGAATCCTTTTTCTTCTCCGTTTCATGGCAAGGATGGGAAGTCATGGGGAGAGAAGGGAGGGATGGTGGAAGGGGTTGGAGGATTCGCGATTTGAAGATTTTTTATTATTACTTTTTTACTTTTTTTTCTGTTCTTTTCATTGCACCCGCCGCTACTCACCAGCCCTTGAACGTATATAGTTAAGTAGTTACATAGCTTGACATTCAGTCCCCGCTAGCTTGGCCCTATTTGCTAGTTTCCTTGTTGCGAAAAGCCATCTAAGCCCCACAAACCGCAAGCCTTCAAGGTGTGTTCAGGATTACGGGTGGTGGAGGGGTGATTGCGGTGAGGATGGATCTGAATCGATTGGTGGGCGAAGTGGGGATGGAGGGGCTAAATGGGACAGTAGTTAGGGTTCTGGATGTAAGTCTATGTTTGCATATCATTGATTTATATAGGCGGACGAGGAGCGGCGGGATTGTTCCTTGGAAGGTTGCCCAAATAGTGAAAATTGCAATGGAAGAGGAATTAATATGGAATGGACATGATCGCTAGTTAAGGAGGGGAGGGGAATGACATCAACCTGAAGCTCTGACAGAATGTGAGAAAAATGACCTCCGGAATTAGACAGGGAGGTAGTCAGCTAAGCGGCGTAAAATTTATGGTTCTGTGACATACTGGAGCCAGGGAGATGCATGACTAGATGGGAGGGTAAAATGATGACGGGGATGATATCTTGAAAGGGAGAGACGGCCAGCACAGGAGCTCGCGAGTGGTGGGACAGAACACGGAAGTTATTGTAAGTGTGGAACAAAATTGCAACCCCGGGAAAAGTTTAAAATTTCCATACATCAGAATCACTTTCAACCTTGGCTAAAATAGTTATAATATTTGCTCGATTAATGGAAAATGCTCTCGACTCTTGTTTGTATGGGAGGTTTGTAAAACAGAGTTGCGGAAAAAAAAAAAAAAAAGCGAAGGGAGCGTTCAATATCCAAATTTGGGGGGGGGGGGGGGGGAA